CACACACACACACTCACTCACTCACTCACAGACACACACACACTCACAGACACACACACACACTCAGACTCACTCACTCACTCACTCACTCACTCACTCACTCACTTGTGCAGCGCTAGAGAGAACGACACGCATTAGCCATGCGCTTACATATAACACACTCATCCAGCACACACACACACACACCACTCTGCTGTTACACAACATCACAAACAGTTTTGTTGCGGTCACGGCGCTTGGACTCATGGGACTCATCTCGTCACTACAAGACATTATTTTGAGTCCATGAGATCACTGTGTTGAGCTACACTATCCTGATGCAGGAACGACACACTTTTCTCATCAACACCATTTTAACGAGTAAACAGAAAGAACATTTTAAATAACATTTTATTTTTTTAATCATGCTACATGCATTATATTATGCATTATATTATATTTACATTAAGTCACTTAGCAGATGCTTTTATCCAAAACAACTTACGAATGAGGACAACAGAATCAATCAGAATCAACAAAAGAGCAATGATATGTAAGTGCTGTGATAAGTGTCAGTTAGCCTAACACAGTGCGCAAGAGTTTTTTTATAAAATAAATAAAAAGAAAACAAGTAGATAAAATAGAATTAGAATAGAGAGTGGTAGAGTTAACGTTAGAGGGTCAAATGAAGATCGAAGAGATGTGTTTTTAGCCATTTCTTGAATATGGTTAAGGGAACAGTTAATGTGAAAGTCTGTGAAAGTGATTGTGTTTATATTATACTTTGCTCCTGTGACATCATTCAAATGAAGTTTCAAACACACTCGCACACACACATGCGCACACACATGCGCACACACACACACTTCAGCAGCGACAGACATCCAGTCTCAAAGATTTACAGTCAATATTCATGAAAATATGGTTTAAAATATATCTACTGTTATTTACTTACCCATATTAGATGATTAAAAAGCTTTATTTAAAACTGTGTGCGTGTTGTGCAGACAGCTGTCAGATGAGCAGGTGTGAGTGAGTGTGTGTGTGTGTGTGTGTGTGTGTGTGAGACACAAATTTGTATAATGACAGGGGTATGACAGAGGTATTACAATGTGAAGGTGGTTTATGAGGACACTTTCGGTGTCCCTGTAATTCAAAAATACTAAATGGTGTTTTTTTTTGTTGGGAAAATCAAAAAATGCAGAAAGTTTCCTGTAAGGTGTAGGGCGATAGAATATACAGTTTGTACAGTATAAAAACCATTACGCCTACGGAGAGTCCCCATAAAACATGGAAACCCAACGTGTGTGTGTGTGTGTGTGTGGAGATGTAAACTGAAATTATTTCCCCCTCAATAACTATTGTTTTTATTGAAGAATATTCCAAATTCAGAATCTTGAATCCCCTGGAATCATCACATAAAATAAAATTATTTGATATTATTATTCAATATGTCAGCACTGCCTGGTTGTGTTAATAAAAAGTTTAAATAAAGCAAGCAGCGATGCCATAGAGCAGAAATAGCAGAGGAAATATCAGGGTATTTTGTGTTGAACAATGGGGGGCTCTTCAAGTGCTGCTCCTGCTTGGTCTTCTCCATCGCTATACACGCCACGCGCCTGACGACACACACACACACACGTGCATGAGACCAGGCCTCGCTCACACGAGTGCAGCTGTGGTCTGTGTTTCTCACCACTCCTGCAGCTCCGGCGAGGGAATGAGGCCCGCTGTGCCGTTCTTGGTGTTCTCCAGTTTGCCCTGCCACCAGTTATGATCGTCCTTACTGATGATCTGGATGATGTCACCCACCCGGAAACGAACGCCAGCCTCTTTACAGGGAATCAGGTCGTCTTTAGCGGGATCGTACTCGAACTGCGCTCGAACGTATATCTGCAGAACCACACGAGTGTTAGAAAAATGAGATTCATCAATTCAACTAGTAAAGCTTATAATTAGGGCTGTCCATTGACTGCACATTTGATTGGAATAAAAATAATACAAAATCATTATTCTTATAATTACTCTTATCAATAAGACACCATTTGTGACCCTGGAGCACAAAACCAGTCATAAGGGTCAACTTTGTAAATTGAGATTTATACACCATCTCAAAGCTGAATAAATAATCTTTCCATTGATGTATGGTTTGTTATGATAGGACAATATTTGGCTGAGATACAACTATTTGAAAATCTGGAATCTGAGGGTGCAAAAAAATCTAAATATTGAGAAAATCATCTTTAAAGTTGTTCAAATGAAGTTCTTCGCAATGCATATTACTAATCAAAAATTAGGTTTTGATATATTTACGGTAGGAAATTTACAAAATATCTTCATGGAACATGATCTTTACTTAATATCCTAATGATTTTTGGCATAAAAGAGAAATGGATAATTTTGACCCATACAATGTATTGTTGGCTATTGCTACAAATATACCTGTGCTGCTTGACTGCTTCTGTGCTCCAGGGACACATATCCAGTTAAAAAGCTCAATTTATATCTGCATTGTTTAACATTTTGTCATTTTTTATAATTGTACTAAATGAACAGGTTGAATTGACAGCCCTAGTTAAAATGTAACTGCATATAACACACACACACACAAACACACAGTCAACCAATCAGATGTGAGCAAACCCCATTGACGGACAGCACGGGCGTGTCTAAGAAGCCAATCATCTGTGACGGGCGGGGCCAATCACACTACTAGGACGGACACAGATGTGATTGGCAGGTGGGTTAGTGTCATGTACCATCACTATGGGATGCTGGGAGTCTATAAGCACCAACTAGAGAAGCAAAGCCCGATGGGAAATGAATCTGGCTCTACTGGATCCGAGAAACTCACCTTCCGAGACATTTTATCCTTGACTGCAGGTCTGGAGATCTAAGGGTTTGAAAGCATCACACACACACACATCATGCAGTAGAACAGACTGACGTGGACAGGAAATGACAGGATGCAGGAATCGCATTGTAAAGCAGTAGGGTGACGGGATGGGCGTTAAAGGCCTATTCACACCCAACACAGACCTCTCTTTCACACGAAGATGTGCATTCAAAAAAATCACCTGTCAGCAAAGTAATGGGCTTTTTTTCGCCATCGTCAGTTACAAAAAATCTCCCGAGCAAAATTAAATATCCAGCCTGCTTTCAGCTGCCAATAAGAGAGTAGGACTCTGTGTATGATGTTCATCACATTTAATCAGTGCAGAAAAGGGAATAAACCTCCAGAGTTTGACGGGATGCACTTTGATTCAAGCGAGTGACAGACCGATCGCTTTAGCTCAGGTATGTGAACATACATCAGTTTCACAATACCACACTGTTTACTGTCCAGAGTAATGCAAGAAAAGGCCTAAATCTTCATCTAAACCTATAATGCTTTGAATCTAAGGGGTTTGGTGTGGTTTATTGGTAGTCTTACTAAGATGGAGCTGGTGATGCTGGAGTGGCCGTTCGCAGGAGACTGTCTGGGCAGATCAGGGGAATCTTTCTGAAACGCCAGAGTAAAACAGAGTCAGAGACGCTCATGTGATCTGTGCATTTAGTGTTGATATTCCAGGAGCGACCAGCGTGTGGCGCTCTGACGGAAAAACACTTACATCACAGGACAGAGACTGACTGCGGTAACTGGGCACAATTTTGAAGGTGATGCTGCCTCGCATCTCCCGCTGTTAGAAAACAAAACACAAACACATTACTGACTAAAACTGACCGCTGATGCAAACACAGTAACCAAGAGTGCAGAATCAGAGACGTGTGAGTGTGTGTCTACTTAAATATTTATACTACCATATTTTAGTTAGCTAAAAGTGAGCTAAACCTGACAAACTCATTTTGGGGATGTGCTTGTTTGTAAAAAATAAAGCAGTTTAAAAATAAAGTAAACCCAGTTTTTTTTAGATGTAACAATGCATAGGTTTTCTGTCGGTTAGTGTGTGGTTTTAGTATTTAGTCCATGTAATATCCCTAGTTAGAAAGCTGAGCAAACGTGGGTTTGTGTCACTTGTGCTTTCAGTATTAAGTCAGCATATTGAATGTAATAGGCCTGGTTTCACAGACAGGGCTTAGATGAAGTCAGGATTAGGCCATAGTTCATTTACGACATTTAAGTAGTTTTTATAAACGTGCCTTAGAAAATTTTTTTACCTTACTGGTGTGCACCTTGAGACAAAACAATGGCTTATTTTAAGAGATGTCAGTGCAAGTCTCTTGCAGTTGAAACATGCATTTTATTCTGGGAGTAGGCTTAAGTCTTGTCTGTGAAACCGGCGGATAAAATCATATTGTACTTATTAAAACATCTGTTCTGTTTGCATGTTGTTGTCACTGATTAAATACGTTATGATGAGTAGTTTCACGGGTTTATAGTTGGGACAGGAGGACCGGAGGAGGTGAAGTCCTCTCTGAGAGTTATCAGACGTGTCTGGTTGGTTTACTCGAATAGTTACCACTGAGTGACTCAGTCTTTGCTTTAGTTATGATCCTCATGTCTAGCACTAGTGTTGTTTTGTTCTGCTCTGTCTCTCTCTCACACACCAGCATCTTCTGGAGCTGCTCCACCGTCTGATTGGTGACACTGATGCCGTTGATTTCACGAATCTCGTCTCCGATGTGCAGCGTCCCTGAGAAACGACAGCGTACGTGAGCACAGAGACACAGACACACACTCACAGACACACACACACACTCACAGACACACACACACACACACACTCACTCACTCACAGACTGTGGATCATCCCGCCGTGCATGATTCTAGCCACAATGCAGTGGTTCAGTTCGTTCATCTTCAGAGTGATGCCCTGTCAACACACAATCACACCCATGATATCAGCACACCGCTTCAGTCTTTCGCACGAGCATCACAAACGTCCCTCCCGTGGGGATTTCAGCGTCTCGTCTCAGATCTTCAACTCACACTAGTCTTCAGCTGCTTATCATGCAATTAAAACTATTTGTGACCCTGGACCACAAAACCAGTCATAAGGGTCAATTTACTGAAATTGAGATGTATGTGTATGTATGTATATGTATCTGAAAGCTGAATAAATAGCTTTCCATTGATGTATGGTTTGTTAGGATAGAACAATATTTAGCTGAACTTTACAGTTATTGATCTGAACTAAAATAAAGATCTGAATAATATCACTATTGTCTTCTGCAGAGCTGCTTTATGCCACAATTTGGATTCGTCTCATATTTGTTTGCATCGATGATTCTGTTATTTTCCTGTTTATTACTGTGAAGCTGCTTTGAAACTCTATATTGTATAAAGCACTATAGAAATAAAGGTGACTAGACAACAGAGTCGTAGTCGATCCTACTAATTTAATTGTTTTATTGCACACTTTGCATGCAACACCATTACCACATGATTTTCCACTCCATGAACAGATAATCACACTGTGACACGCAAATGTTTATTGCTCTAGAAACCAATCAAATGAAAGTTTCAGAATGTGTATTTGTTCTTATATACTTCTAGTATTTTTTTGTGTGCATGAATATATATTTTTATACGTTTTGCCTAATTTGCCTCTCTACTTTTTATTCTCTCTCTCTCATGTATATTTTTCTGTTCTGTAAGATAATGCACATAAATTCACTGCACATAAACTCACTGCACATAAATTCTAAATAATGGAAAAAAATTGTTTTTGTTTGTTTGTTTTGTTTTTTGGAAACTGTGGTAACAAAGCTCCTCCAAAACCATTGTCGGTTACACTTTATTTTAAGGTGTCCTTATTACAAATTTAAGTACCGAGTAATATTAATTACCTACATGTACTTTCTATATGGTTATGATTAGGGTTTGGCTTGCATGTAATTATGCATAATTTATTGTTATTATAATAGTAAGTACATGTAACGTGTAACAAAGACACCTTAAAATAGAGTGTAAAACAGCTCATAAAACATTTACTTTGAGCTCCAGAGCTGGAAACATTTTTGTTTCAAGGTCTATTTTGGTCCTGATCTTGGAAAGTAATCTTTTATAATTCTGTTAGAGTCTGTCATAAACACAAGCTTATCTTCGCTCATGAAACAGCGAGTGTGTGAGTGACTGGGTACCATGGGCTCGTCCGTGTTCTTCTGGAACTGCACCAGGCGCACACGCGTGACGTTCTCCAGGTCCATGTCTCCGCTGACGCTCTCGGGCGAGTCTCCGTTGAGGTAAGGGGACGTGGGTGGAGGTGTCACTCGCAGCGCCTCGTCGCTGTAAACCTCATGAGCCACGACATCGTGCGTCTGCAGCAGCGCCTGCGACAGGAACCACACACTCAGCATCTGCAGCGTCAAACACACACACACTCACACTCTCTCACATACAGTACACAGACACACACTCACATACACACTCTCTCACACACACACACACACACACACGCACACACACTCACACTCTCTCTCTCTCACACACACACACACACTCTCTCTCTCTCTCTCACACACACACACACACTCTCTCTCTCTCTCTCACACACACACACACACTCTCTCTCTCTCTCTCACACACACACACACACTCTCTCTCTCTCTCTCACACACACACACACACTCTCTCTCTCTCTCTCACACACACACACACACTCTCTCTCTCTCTCTCACACACACACACACACTCTCTCTCTCTCTCTCACACACACACACACACTCTCTCTCTCTCTCTCACACACACACACACACTCTCTCTCTCTCTCTCACACACACACACACACTCTCTCTCTCTCTCTCACACACACACACACACACACACTCACACACACACTCTCTCACACACACACACACGCTGTCGCGGCTCATCCCATCTGTCTCTGTGCATTAAAGCACTGCTGGCTGTTGAAGCAGCTGCTCGTCACTGCAGCTTTAGAGTTCAAGTGGCTCGACGTGAAAGGATGAATGTCACCAAAACGTCAATATTTCACACCAAAATCAAAAGAAAGAGATATGAAATTGTATTTAGCATAAAGAAAATTAAGCCCGATTTTAGGACCATTAGGAGTTTTTGCACTGTGACATTATTTTTTTATGAAAATTCAACCCAAACATTATCATTGCTTCATTGCTGTAATGTGGACAAGGACTAATTATATTTAATATTTCATTTAAATGACAAAATGCATATTAAAGCTGTAGCTTTTACAAATGCAAGTAGTATACATCATGCTAGAATCTATTGCACTGAATTTATGTTGCTTGTAACAGGGTTTCTGCAGGTTTTATGAAGGTAAATGTAAGACTTTTTTAACCAAGCAATAAAATGAAAACATTATATAAAATAAATATATCATTTTATATTTTATAAAATAAATAGCTTTAAGGATCTGCTCACAAATACATGAGAATAAGTACACAAATAATTTTTGTTTTCTGAAAAATTGTTCAAAATGAAGCGAGTTTATGATTAAAACAAGAACAAATATGTCAATGGACTCAGAAAATCAACTTAATTCACAAGGAAAATACGTTTTTATCCCTCATTTGTTCTCGTTTTAATCAGAAACTCACTTTATTTTGATCAATTTCTGAGAAAATGTCATATCTTCATTTTCATCTCCAGCAAATTTACCTTGATTTAAGGATGTTTAGATATTTGTACTGGAAAACAAGACAAAAACGCTGAGGGCTGTATTAATTTTTTAGCAATACATGCAACATTTAATGCCACGACATTATGAATTAAAGACTTTCTCCTCCGATTTAATTTGTGGAAGGGTGAATTTAGATTTTAAGACCCACAGAATCCCTGGATTAATAAAAATCGCTTGTTTAATTTGCATGACTCTATTACAGTACACAAATTTACAGGATAAACGTTTATTTTTGTCATGAAATAATGTGACTATCAAACAGTCCTAAAGTAGACTTGCTTTCCTGAAATGTATTACTGTTTTTGAGGTGAAATATGACCTGGACATGCTTTACAATATTCTCTCGTAAGCGTCCACATCTGGAGGCGTCTCGTCTCGCTGAAGCTGCATGCACTCAATGCATCTGCGTGACTCAACCTGAAACAGTTGTTGTGGTTTTCATCTGAGCGCGAACAGAGCGCTGCGTCCGACGGCTTCCACTCACCATGAAATGCGGCTGTGTCAGGATTCTCTTCAGCTCTTTTGCCTCCATGTTCTCAAGATAACAGGAGAGCGTCTCCAACACCTGCCGAGAAACAGTTCACAGCACAGAACGCCATTACTGGTTGGAAAAAAAAAATTAATTAAAAGAAAATTATATATATATAGATCCAGAAGAACTGTGGCAATGTCTCCGAGACGCTTCAAGAAACCTCCTGCAAAGCTACAGAGCTGTTAACAGTTTGAGGCACTTGTGTAAAAATGCTGTAAAATGAGGATGCTGTCAAAAATAGATTTTCTTTATCAGTTAACTTCTATTAACTAAATTAAATCATCATTTGGTGTGAGCATCCTTGTGTTTAAAGCAGCGTTTGTCCTCGGTGCACTTGAGCAGAGTTTCTCAGGAGCTTTGCAGGAGGTTTCTTGAAGCATCAGTTCTTCTGGATTGAGTCTGTCTCAGTTTGTTCTGTTTCTTCATGTGACTCCAGACAGACTGATGAGGATCAGATCAGATCTCTGTGTGCAGCACAAACATCTCACTGCATTATTACAATTAATGGCTAAATGAATGTTTGGAAATGTAAACTGATATTTCCTACTAACACACTACAGCAAAAGATAGAAATAACTGACTTGAAACCATTTTTTAGCTGCTGGGAATACTAGTGTTCTAATAGCACTGTATTATTAATTATATTAACGTAAAACAGAGCTGAACTTAAGAAGCTCAAGTCTTATTAAATCAAGCCACACTATAACTGAGTGTTACATGATGAACCCTCATATTCTGATTTAGTCATTTAGCAGAAGCTTTTATCCAAAGCGACTTACAAAGTAGAAGCAATCGGACCAACGAGAGAGCAACAATATACAAGTGCTATGACAAGTCTCAGTTAGTCTAGCACAGTGCACATAGCAAAGTGTTTTTTATATATATATAGTGGTGTGAAAAAGTGTTGGCCCCCTTCCTGTTTTTTTTATTTTTTGCACATTTGTCACACTTAAAAGATTCAGATCATCAAACAAATTTTAATATTACACAAAGATAATGCAACTAACCAACACTTTTTCACACCACTGTATATAAATATAAATAAATTAGACCGAATAGAACAGAATAGAATAGGTAAGTGCTAGTATTAATTGGTCAGGTGATGGCGAAAAAAAAGATGTGTCTTTAGATGTTTTTTGAAAATGGCTCGGATTGAGATCGGCAGGTCGTTCCAGCAGCTGGGAACAGTCCAGGAAAAGGTCTGTTAACAGTGATTTTGTGCCTCTTTGGGATGGCACCACGAGGCGTCGTTCACTTGCAGAACACAAGCTTCTGGAGGGCGCGTAGGTCTGAACTAGCGAGTTTAAGTATATTGGTGCAGCGCCAGTGGTTGTCTTGTAGGCAAGCACCAGTACCTTGAATTTGATGCGAGCGGCTACTGGTAGCCAGTGTAAACTCAGAAGACCCTCCAAGAGAGCATTACAATAGTCCAGTCTGGAGAGAACCAGAGCTTGGACAAGGAGTTGTGTGGTCTGCTCTGATAGGAAGGGTTTAATCTTCCTAATGTTGTATAAGGCAAAGCTGCAGGACCGGGCCGTTGCAGCAATACGGTCTGTGAAGCTTAACTGATCATCGATCACAACTCCAAGGTGGTATGGTTGATGAACCTAGCTGTATAGAGAGGTTGTGATGTAGTGCTGGGTTGGCTGAGACCACGAGCAGTTCTGTCTTAGCAAGATTGAGTTGAAGGTGATGATCCTTCATCCAGCCAGAAATGACTGTCAGACAGGCTGCAATGAGAACAGCTACTGTCGGATCATCTGGTTGGAATGAGAAGTAGAGTTGAGTGTCATCAGCATAGCAGTGATAGGAAAAGCCATGCTTCTGAATGACGGATCCTAATGATGACATGTAGATGGAGAAAAAAAACGGTCCAAGCACTGAGCCTTGAGGAACCCCAGTAGCAAGAAGTTGTGACTTAGAAACCTCACCCCTCCAAGACACCCTGAAGGACCTACCAGAGACCAGAGGTTTTAAAAAGTGTGTGAGAGTCAGGACAATTGTTAATTTTGTTGTGGTAGTATGTTGTTTTAGCAGTGGAGACACTTGCAGAGAAGGAGGAGAGAAGTGACTGATATACACTAAGGTCAGTAGAGTTTTTTTAATTTGTGCCACTTCCTCTCAGCAGCCCTGAGTCTAGAGCGATGTTCCCGGAAAACATCAGACAGCCAGGCGGCAGAGGAGGCGGTGCATGCTGGTCTGGATGAAAGGGGGCAAAAGGTGTCTAAGCAAGATGTTAGAGTGGAGCAGAGAGTGTCAGTAGCAGTGTTTGTGTCCAGTGCTGAGAACTGAGAGAGTGGAGGAAGTGAGGATGAAACCATAGAGGATAGGCGAGTGGGAGAGAGAGAGCGTAGGTTACGCCGAAAGGTGACCTGCAGAGGAGTGTGCGTTGTGTCAGTGTGAGGTTAGAAGTGATCAGGAAGTGGTCTGAGGTGTGCAACAGCGTAACTAAAGTGTTGTCCGTTGAGCAGTAGCGTGTGTAGATAAGGTCCAATTGGTTACCTGATTTGTGAGTAGCTGCAGCAACGACAACCGTGCTAAAATCTAATGAGAAAAGATACAAAACACTAACAGACTGCTGTCCTCTTCTGCTGCTCGACTGCTTCTACTTCTGATCCATTTAACAAGTTGCAGCAACTGATTATATCCCGTTACTTGTGTTTCAAGCATGAATAAGTGCGAGAATGTTCTGATTGTGAATGTTCAGATGAATGTCAGTGATGGAGCAAGCTAAACATGAGGAAACAGAACATGAGGGTTTATTCTGGTAAATACAAAGCATATAAATAGATTAATTGGGCGGCACACGTGTGTTATTACAGTGTGTGCGGTGAAAGCGAGCCGATGGCGAGTGTGTGCCGTAACGCACCTCTTTGGCTCTCTGGACGGCATCGCTGGCCGGATTCCTGATCTGGGGTGACGAGCGGGTGTTAATCTTATCGTAGAGCTGAAACACACACAGTTCAGTTCATCAGTGAGACCATCAGCTGAACGCATGTATCTCATGATCTACAGACACACTCTCGTATGTCTATATCAGTCAATCTCTCTCACAGAATGAACTACATTTGAACAGAAGCTCAATCACATTTTCTCACAGTTTGTTGCTAAACTGTGTCACTCCTCAGAACAAACAACATTTGCCTGATTTTACTTTTACTCATGTTTTTTCTCATAAACATGCATGTGTACATACACAAACACACACGTTTGTGCCGACATCAACTTCAACAGCAGTGAATCCTCCTTCCTCGGTATTTATCTTGTTTTCCAGTTCAAATGTCTAAAGATTATTGAATCAAGATACATTTACTTGATATAAGTGATGAGCTAAATGACTTACAATAAGAAGTCTTGTTTTGATTGATCATGAAATTGATCAAAATGAAGTTTATCATTAAATCAAGAACAAATATCTGCTAATGGAGTCAGAAAAATTTAATTCAAAGGGAAAACAAGGTTTCATTCCCCACTGACAGATATTGGTTCTTTTTTTAAAGAATAAATTCTCTTCATTTTGATCACTTTCTCAGAAAACAAGACTTCATTCGTTTAATTTGCATTTAGGATGTTTAGATATTTGTACTGGAAAACAAGACAAATTTTTTTTTAAATATAGTAAAATAGTATAATAGAATAATCAAAAAACATTTGATGCCATGACCAAGACTTAATACTCTGATTTAAGACCTTTTTAGGCCTTCATTTGTGGAAGGAAACATGAGAATGATCATCATGTGCATGATTTTACTTGTTTTTCCTCCCAACATGCATGTGCACACACAAACACACACACACGTGTTCGTGCCGAGATCAGCACCCTGATGAACTTTAACAGCAGTGAATCGTGGTCACATTCAGCAAGCAAACACAGCGTACAGAAACACTGATGCAGCTCATCACTGTCAGTCTGGGAACCGACTTGGTTTTTACAGACAGTGATGATGATGATGATGATGATGGTTGGAAAATAAAGACGAGTCGTCAGCTGCTCAGCAAGACGGCTAACATTTGAAGACGACACATATGACTGGCGTCTAGACAGTGGGCAGAATGTGTGTCACTGCAGGACCGCTAACAACATCCATGTCAGTCTGAAACACACGCCGCTGCCAATCTACTTACTGTAATTAAACAGATTATTAATAAGTAAACAGACTGATGCATCCACAGATGCTGCATGAGCTCATGAAACTGTGTTGATGTTGTTCTGTTGTGTGATTTCCAATCTTCATTTCAAAGCTTTAATAGATTTACATTAATGTCATTAATAATAAAATCTATCGTTAATCTATTGAACACGCAGGAAGTGATTTCTTCTGTTTGCCATCCACGTTTACACAAATCTGCAGCAGAAACAGTCGAGCTACAGAGGAACAAACCAAACGTCCGTCTGTGTCTCAGTCCTTCAGTGATGTGAGGAATGAAAGCAAACCCTGATGACACAACACTCTGTGTGTCTGTGTGTGTGAGATTGAGTGAGTGAGTGATTGTGTGTGTGTGAGTGAGTGAGTGAGTGAGTGATTGTGTGTGTGAGAGATTGTGAGATTGAGTGAGTGAGTGATTGTGTGTGTGTGAGTGAGTGAGTGAGTGAGTGAGTGATTGTGTGTGTGAGAGATTGTGAGATTGAGTGAGTGAGTGATTGTGTGTGTGAGAGATTGTGAGATTGAGTGAGTGAGTGATTGTGTGTGTGAGAGATTGTGAGATTGAGTGAGTGAGTGATTGTGTGTGTGAGAGATTGTGAGATTGAGTGAGTGAGTGATTGTGTGTGTGTGTGTGTGTGTGCGTGATTGAGTGATTGAGTGAGTGATTGTGTGTGTGTGTGTGTGTGTGTGTGTGTGTGTGTGTGTGTGTGTGAGAGAGATTGTGAGAGTGTGTGTGTGTGTGTGTGTGAGAGAGAGAATAAAACAAGGACTTGAAAAACTTTGAAGATGATTTAAACATTGATATAAAATGAATTTAAGACAGTTAAAAATAGAAAATGATTATACATACATAAAATACAGTGCAATCCGTTCGGACTTCGCACATTGCTCATTCAATAAATGCACAGCTAAACAGATGAGTGTTGAGTCTAGATTTAAATGTGACTAATGTTTTAGCACATCTGATCTCTTCTGGAAGCTGATTCCAGCTGCGGGCGGCATAATAACTAAAAGCAGACTCCCCTTGTTTTGTGTGAACCCTTGGTATTTCTAACTGACTCG